TTGACGCCCCATGGCGCGCTCCCAGGTCAACATTCCCCGAGAAGACATATCTGCTAAAAACTCAGCATACCGCCACGGCGAATTCTTTAGGACGGGATCCACATGAGGTCCCCGCGGGCAAATTTCTTTCTGCAGGGCCCGGGCCTCCGACTCCGGGCGAAGCATTTGGTACTGCCAAGCCTCCAGCTGTTTCAAAACAGGCCCAGAAGCGAGCGACTCCAGAGGGACCGGGTCGGTCCGCCCAGTGGGCCAAGAGACGAGGTCTCGACTGAAGGATGTCACCGCCCCCCCATCTGATGAGTACAGGGCGGATCCGTCAAGAAGCGCCGAAAGGGCTCCCTTGGAAAAGAGGTGCGGCGCGGCTGGGTCCACAGGAGGGGCCCCCACCGCGCGGCAGGTTGCAATAATATTATCTACTGCTGCTTTCTGCCCGGCATTCGAGAACTCACTACCGAGGGAGGCACAGCCGTAGGTCTTGTTGAGCGTCGCGATGCAATCACGAATGAGGTGTTTATCGTGTTCGGCACGGAGAACCCGACGACGCACAGCACGCGACAGAGGGCCAGCAGCAGGTGAGGCTTCGAGAGATTCAGGAATAGGAAGAGGGAAGATGTCACGGTGCCGCCCATCAGGAACATCCAGCCGATGCTTCGTGCCGCCGACCTTCAGGAGGCCGGGTGGACCCTGCAGCCCTTCAAGGCTATCGAGGGTGAAGGCCGGGCCCCGAGCCTCCACCTGGCGTACATTCACCCCTCGCCCTTGTTGCCCTTCTTGCCTTTCTTGCCCTTGTCTTTGTCGTTGCCGCCCGCCGCGCCAGCAGCCAACTGACGCTCTTCACGAGCTTTCCTGAGCTCCTTCTGCACCGCCACCTCACGCGCGAGCTCAGCTGACACGTACTGCTGGAGGGAGGGCGCCACGCATACATCTCCTCGAACTTCGGCGGTCCCCATCATGAGATCGCGGTTGATGTTCTCGGGCTCCGACGAGCTGCTGCGCGCGCGGTACCGCTCCTCCTGCACCTGGAGCGTCCTCGCGATCAGCTCGGCACAAGCCAAGTCACAGGCATTTAGCTGATCGTACGAGATCATGGTCTCCAAGAGGCGACTGCACAGCAAGTGAACCTCGACCCCAGCGTCATCTGGATCGAGCCCGTTCTCGCTCCTCCAGCGCGAATGCCGCGCGAGCGGCGTACCGCCGTGCCGCTGGATGTACTGCAGCACCCAGTGCGTGGTCCGCGGTCCTCTGACAGGGAAGTCGGCCCACGCGTGCTCCGACTGCGCCAGCAGGCCCTCGCGGAAGTCCAAGAACCGCTGGCCACGCCCATCATGGGTGGCAGCCAGCACGCGCAGATCAGGCGCGTTGGCGGCGGCGGGCCCGACGCCGACCACGGCAGGCGCCGCCGGCGCGGCTGGGGCAGCACCTCCAGCGGCGGCAGGCGCCGCGTCTGCGGCTGGCGCCGCCGCGCCCCGATCCACACCAGGAGCGGCCAGTGCTCCCGCAGCGGCCGGCGCGCCAGCAGCCGCCGCCGCCCCAGGCCCGCCTGCGGGGCCGCCGAGGGCAGCCACGAGGCCAGCGAGACCGCCTCCTGCCGCGCCGGCGGCGGCGGGCGCGGCAGCGGCCGGCGCAGCGACCAGCGCGCCAGCAGCCGCTGGGGCCGGCGCCGCTGCCGCAGCCGGGTTGGCCAGCGCGTGCTGCCCGGCCGCCACCCCGAGGATATTGCCGGCCGCGAGGTCCAGCATCAGCGCTCCCGGGGGCGGCGGCGGGAAGCCGGCTGCCACTGCTCGCCCCACCGCGCCCCAGGCCTCCGCAGCTGTCGGGAGCCGCCGGAAGCGGTACACGTGACCGCCCGCAAGGCCTGGAGGGTTGGCACCCTGCCCGGCCAGGCGGACCACCGCCGCCACGTCAGGCCCCGGCGCGTTCGGCTCGTCGTAGTCGTCGAAGTCCGGCGTCAGGATGTAGCTGAGGGCCCCGCGCTCGCCCAGCGTGAGCCGCTCATGCCACAGTAGCGGCCCCGGCACACTGTACCGCACACAATAGAAGGATCCAGCCATCAGAAGTCACCGAGGTTGCCGACCCCCTGGCACCGGCTGCGGCCCCGGCTGGCCTTGGCCTGCTCGGCCGCGAGCTTGTCGAGGTCCGGCGCCACGCCCTGGTCCAGCGTCGGCTCGCTGAGGGCCGCAGGCCCCGCACGCGCCGCCGGCAGGACAGCCCGCGCCGCGCTCGAAGCCAAGCCCACCACCGCCTTCAGCGCCTCCAGCAGCAGGTAGGCCAGCAGCCCGATGCCCAGCTGGAGCGTCCAGCTCGCCTCGCCTGCCTCGCAGGCCGGGCAAGGGGTACACGGGTCAGGGCAGATCAAGCCCGGACCCCTCGCCTCCAGCGCCGCGGCCAGGCACTCGGACAAGGGCACGTGGGTGGCCTCGTCCTCGGCCTCGCTCGGGCCCGCCACGCGAGCAGCCCGCGCGAGCGGCTCCGCCTGCGGCGGAGGCTGGGGCGCAGCGGGCGGCGCCCACCACCAGCGCGCCAGACCTATGGCGCTCAGGTGGCACAGAAGGTGAAGGCTGAGCCCAGATCGCATGGGCTCGGGCGAACCGCGCTCCTTCAAGACTTGAGCGTGGCAGTTGCGGCGGGATCCAGGATGGGCTATGCCTAAACATGTAAAATGTGACATATATATATATACATGTATATATATACACACACAAAAAACATGTAAACAATCAGTTGCGCTGCAGGTGGCTCGGTCGCCAGATAATCTCGGAGTGGAAAAACTGGGCCAAGCTGAACTCGGCCCGTGCTGACCTCGGCTAAACTCGGTCGGGTGAACTTGCACTGGAGAAACTTGGCCTGAAAAACTCAGCCAGAGAAACTCGGCCGGAGAAACAGAACCCACGCTGAACTCGGCCAGGCGAAACTCGGCCCTGGGCCAAGTTAAAATTGGCCGAGTTCGGCTGGTGGAGTTTCGCTTGGCCGAGTCTTTTCCTTGTGAGAGAAAGCCAATGAGGATCTCCAGAAGCCGCTCAGACAGCCAATGACAGCCCCAAGAGGGCCCCGATACGGCCCAAGAGGGGCCAAGGACAGCCCAAGAGGACCCAAAGCTGCCCCAAGAGGAGCCCCAGACATTTCCAAGACGGCCGAAACAGCCCTCCGTGAGAGCCTCTCAAGGAATACAAACGAGAGGAATCACATGTTACGGCCTTCGGTGCTCGGAGCGTCGCAACAGAGGGCCGCGATGGCGCGGGGACGGGACGTTCCGCAGGCAGTTGGATGGCATTCCTCCTGTTTTCCTCCCTGCTCGCTTATTCTGCTCTACATCCTCCTCATCCTCCTCCTCCTCCTCCTCCTGCTCCTCCTCCTCCTCCTCCTCCTCCTCCTCCTCCGATTCCCTTCCTCACCTCACCCTCCTCAGGTCCACCTCGTCCAGGGCTAGCTCCGCGGCGAGCTCCTCGATCTTGGCCTCGTACCCCCCGATGCTGGCAGCCTCCTTCTCGATTGTGGCCTTCAGGTTGGCGATCTCGCCCTGGGACGTTTTGATCTGAAAGCCCAGCTCGCGCGCCTCGTCTTCGCACCACTCCGAGAACTTGGCGAACACGGCATGCGACGCCTCCCCCTCCGAGATGACCTTCGCCTGCAGGCTGGAGAGCATCTCGATGACCTTCGCCACCGGGCTGCCGGTCACCGACGGCGCGGAGTTGGCCGCCAGGGTCAGCAGCAGGAGAGAAGCCATCTTCATTGTGTGGGCCCGAGTAGAGGGTCCCGCGGGGTCCCAGAGGATCGGGTAGTCACGCCAGCGTTGAAGCTTGAGACAGAATGGCGACGCGAGAGGAGGGGATGTGAGAAGGTGGGTGAGGAGGGCGAAGAGCAGGATGAGGATGAGCACTCGGAGTAACTCAGGAGGCCCCAGGGAAGGCCAGACCACAAGCACCATGATCCAGCTTGCAGCACCAGGCCTACTGCTTGTCCCTCGCAGGACCCTCCAAAGCCTAGCTCACTGCACACGCTGCATGCAGCACGGCGAACTGCTCCGGTGGGTGTGCAAAACACTCGACAGGGCCCCTCTGGGGCCCGTCGTAGGCAACAGCCCCAGCCACGCAGGAGCCGCTGCCAAAGCTGGTAAGACCGCCTCCTCCTGCTTCTCATCCTTGTGCTGTTCATCTTCCCCCTGCCCCTTCTTCTCGTCCTGTTCTTCCCCGTCATCTCCCAGATCATCCTCATTCATCCTCATCCTCCTAATCAGCAGCATCATCAGCATCATGATTCATCATCATCATAAGCATCATCATCACCAGCGGCATCATCATCAGCAGCGGCATCATCATCAGCATCATCGTCATCATCATCATCATCATCATCATCATCATCATCATCATCATCATTAGCATTATCATCACCATCACCATCACCATCACCACTACCACCCAAACATCACCATCATCATCAGCATCAACATCGTCAAGATCATCATCATCACCATCATCACCATCGTCGTCATCAGCATTATCATCATCGCCATCATCATCATCATCATCATCATCATCATCATCATCATCATCATCATGTTCATCATCATCCTCATCCTCATCATCATTCCCATCATCACCAGCATCATGAAAATCATCAGCAACAGCATCATCAGCAATCTTATTATCATCATCATCATCATCAGTATCATCAGCAGCAGCAGCATCAATCATCATCACCAGCATCATCATCATCAGCAGCAGCATCAGCATCAGCATCAGCATCATCATCATCATCATCATCATCATCCCCGTCCTCCTCCTCCTCCTCCTCCTCATCCTCCTCCTCATCACCATCATCCTGCTCCTCCTTCTCCTCCTCCACCATTTCCCCCTCTTCCTCCTCTTCCTCCTCCTCCTCTTCCTCCTCCTCCTTCTCCCCCTCCTCCTCCCCCTGTCCTCCTTCTCCCCCTCACAACAACAATGCGAAGCAACGCATCGATCGACGAGACAGGCCCTGCAAAAGGCGGCGGGTGCAGGGGCCCTGCGCCGCTTCCGAGGTCGCCCGCACGCCGCGCCGTCCCAGATGGAGCCGAAGGCGTGCACGGACGGTGGCCCGGGCCTCAGCGAATACGTCAGGTTCGTGTCGTGCCGACTTCGGCGTGGATCGTTCAACCTTGAACGATCGGCCGTGTCCGAAACGTCCATATCGTTCCACATCGAACGACTCTGGGTCGCCCGCGGCGTTCAAAGTTGAACGCCGCTGGCGGGGTCGCCGCCTGTCGACACGACACGAACCTACCGTACGGAGGGGGGGACGGGGGGACAGGTCGGGGCACCTCTTACAAAGGGATCGGGGGAGGGGGGAAGGCTTCTTAGGAGGCTGCTTCTTAGAAGGCGCGGGCCTCACATCTGCAGAGAGGGCCCGCGCCTTCCAAGAAGCAGGGGCGCTTCTAAGAAGCTTTCCCCCCTCCCCCTACCCCCCTCTGCGCGCCGCCGAAAGTCGGCTGTCTGCCTCGCTCGTCCTGGGCCCCGGGTGGGCCCGGCCAGGATCGGCGAGGCTGATGGTTGGCGCACCCCGGACAGGAGGGCGGAGCCCGCAAGCCACCCGAAACTTCGCGCCTCGCGCCGCGCTGAGGGCGAGGCGCCCTCCCCTGACCTTCCAGAGAGCTATTTCTTTAGCACTGGAGACCTGAACACCTAAAAAGCTGAGCGAAACAGCCTGAAACCAAGACGTAGAACAGCTGTGGGATCGGTTTTTAAGTCGGATGCTATGTTTTAGCCCTCCTGGAAGGTCAGGGTCGTCTCCGCGCTCTCGCGCCGCGCGGCCGCCCCCGAAGGGAGGGCGGGCCGCTCGGCCCCGCGAACCGGGCCGCAGCCGGGGCGGAACACCGGAGGCGGCAGCGGCCGGACCAGCGACGCCCACGGCGGGAAGGCCGAGCCCGGCCTCACCGGCGAGCCGCCCAGCGCTGGTCGGGGAGGGGGGGGGGGGCAGCTGGTGGGGGAAACGGGAGGGGACCCGCGGGGAGGGGGGGGGCTGCAGCTGGTGGGGGGTGCAGCTGGTCGGGGAGGGGGGGGGGGGCGCAGCTGGTCGGGGAGGGGGGGGAGGCGCCTCGCCGCCTTCGGCCCCTCGGGGCCCCGACGGCGACGAGGACGAGCACGAGGCCGTGGAGGCGCAGGCGGAGGAGGCGAGCGCAGGGGAGCGCCCCGATAGATAGTCTCCCGGCGGCCCGCTCCTGGGCGCGGGCACGAGGGCCAGCCCCCCCCCCCCCCCGAATGCAGCGCCGTGGAGGCCGGGGCGGCGCACGCCGAGGCTCCCGAGAGGCGCCGGTACCGCGCCGTGAGCTGCCCCCGGGGCCTCCCGCGGCCGGAAGCGGAACGCGGCGGCGTGGCGGGCACACCCGAGAAGCTCGCACGCGCACCGCACGGGGCCGGCTGAGATCTGCGCCGGCCATCCTTCCACGGCCGTGGGCGCCGCGGCGCCACCGCCCATAGCCCCGCGCAGGGGGGGGGCGGCCAGGAGGGGAGCGATGACCAGGGGGTGGTGGTGGGTATCAGGGCCAAGGCCATGATACCCCTGCGGATTTCACGACCACCGCTTCCTCTCTCAAGAGGCACGACTCTGGCCCTCGGGCCTGGAAGAGACGACCAACGACGCGACATCCACACGAACCGTCGGGTAGATAGACCCGGTGACCTGCGGATGGAACAGGTCAGGAAGTCGAAGGTGTGGGCACAAGCCGACGAGTGTCCACCACCACCACCACCGCCAGAAGACCATCATTTGCGAAAGGGGGGGCGATGGTGTTGGATACCCTCTTCCTCCTGGAAACAAGTTTCTCATCCACCGCGCCAGCGCAGGCTGACCGACTCTCGGACTCGTGTCTTGCTGGTGGATGAGGGAATCTTCTCAAGTCTCGGAAATTGCTGGAGCCAGAGGACGCGCAGCTCGACATCATGGCCTAGCTCCAAGGCTCAAGTGCGCCTTCGCCGCGCTGGCGGGGAGCTGGCGCAGGAGCCATACCGTCGATCCCTGGTGCTGAAAAAGGTCGCAAACTCAATCGGGGCCCACGGGGATCTGCACTTCCAAGCCATGCACGCTGGACAGCGTTGTGCTGAGGCAAGCGCGGATCGCACTCTGGCGCAGCTGCTCGCGGCAGGCGTGTCTGACAGCCGCTCGAGAAGTACGCCTTTGACCCAGCCAGTACGGGCGACAGGGCGTGCGGCACACTGCCTGCGGGCCTCTAGCACTAGGTCGGGCCTGTCCCCTCACAGGCGGATTGTGGAGGAGAAATAAAACATAGTTTTTTTTTTAAACATGTCCAAACTACTGATGATACGATATGTAAAAAAAAACAAATAAATAGATACATAAATCAATATATGAATAAACATCGATATGTAGATACACACAAACTCGGGAAATCGTCCCTCTACTATTTTGGGGATATGTTTGAACACTCCACCTGTAGAGGGACACGCCCGACTGAACTTTAGCAACCGCAGCCTTCTTCTCCCCTCTCCCACCCCCCCGCCGAGGCCAGCGCCCGGCCGCCGCCCCCGCGGCCGCTGCCGAGCGCCGCAGCTGCTCGAGCAGCGGCGCCGCTGCGAGCTCCGCGCCGCCCGCGGCGGCCAGCTGGGCCTCCCGCGCGCGCAGCCGCCAGCGGTGGGTGCAGCGCAGCAGCGCGGGCCCTCGGGGGAGGCGGCGGCTCCCTCGGGTCGCCCAACGCCGCGCCTCGCGCCGCACGCGCGAAGCGCGAGGGATGCGCTGTGATCTCCGCGGCCCCGTATGTTTTCTTGTAGGGGGACGGCTTCTGGCCGTGAAGCGCGGCTATCTTCGCGCTCCTCTCGGTGACCTACGTGGAGGCCAACGGAGGAGGTCGTGGAGCCAAGTGTCCCGAAAGTTGCTGGGTCGACTAGCTTAGCTCCCGTGGGAGCGTGACCGTCGGGGCGCCCCTGGGGGCAACGTAAATTGCTGCGCCAGGCCCCCGAAGAAGAAAATGTGGCCTGGTAGAGCGGCGGACAGCAGCAAGTAGGTTGTGGGGCTGAGGGGGATCACGTTTGAAGCGTAAGTGGTTGGCTCACGCGATGGAAGCTTCATCAGTGGTGGGGAACTTGTTCTGCACGTTCGATTAACATGCCATGTGGTCTACAAATAAGGCAAACTCCATCATCCTGCCAATCGCGAATCTATCGCGACACTATCGCAACCCAAGATGGGCATAACAAAGACACCATCGCAAACCAAGAACCAATAAAACGAGACGCTGTCGCAATCTGCTGTGGCACAACCACACATCAACCGACACGCCATCGGAAGACAATCGAACCCCCATCGGAAGACTTTGCATGTCAATCCCAACTGGCCAAGACAACATCCTAGGTCAATGGAGGCACCGTCACAAACCGATCAGCGCACTGACTGCCCTGACACATCGCACACCGATAGCACATCGAATGGGACACCACTGCAGATCTGCCGAGGCGCCATCGCACCTTCGCCTGCCCAAATGGGCCACAGACGTGGTAGATAGTCCACGCAGGCACTTCATAAGACGAACACTTGTCCGTAGATCTAGACCGCGCGCGAGTGGGCGGCCCTCAGGGGGTCTGCGGACCTCACTGGGGCCGAAGAGCGGCCAAGAAGAGGCGAAAGCGCCCCAAGAGCGCCCCAAGAGCGCGCCAACAGCCCCGAAGAGCGCGGGCCAATGCCTGTCAGGCCTCAGCCTGGCCCCAAGAGGGCCCTCTGATGACGTCAGCATTGCCTCAAAATTGCGTTAGGACGGCCCAACATGGTCCCAGCTAGCCTAGATGGACCTCAACGACGGTCAGGATTGCTGAATCATGCTCGGCGGGATCTGCGTGAGCCTCCACTCCGCTGGACCTCCCAGGAGCCCACAGCAATAGCGACGGTTGTGCACTTCGCAACTCCCCAGGGAGCGGCGAGGTCTCGGCTGGATCTGCGTAGACCTCCACCCTGCTGTAAACCACGGAAGTGGCGACGGTTGCGCACTTCGCAGCCTCCCAGGAAGCCGCGCGGCCTGGGCTGGACCTGCGTAGACCTCCACTCCGCTGGACCGCCCAGGAGCCCACGAACGTGGCGAGGGTTACGCACTTCGCAGCCCCCCAGGGAGCCGCGAGGTCTCGGCTGGACCTGCGTAGACCTCCCCTCCGCTGGACCTCCCAGGAGCCCACGAAAGTGGCGACGGTTGCGCTCTTCGCCGCCTCCCAGGGAGCCGCGAAGTCTCGGCTGGATCTGCGTAAACCAACACCCCGCTGGACCTCACAGGAACCCACGAACGTGGCGACGGTTGCGCACTTCGCAACCCCCAAAGGAGCCGCGAAGTCTCGGCTGGATCTGCGTAGACCTCCACTCCGCTGGACCGCCCAGGAGCCCACGAAAGTGGCGACGGTTGCGCACTTCGCAACCCCCAAAGGAGCCGCGAGGTCTCGGCTGGACCTGCGTAGACATCCACTCCGCTGGACCTCCCAGGAGCACACGAAGGTGGCGACGGTTGCGCACTTCGCAGCCCCAGGGAGCCGCGAGGTCTCGGCTGGACCTGCGTAGACCAACACTCCGCTGGGCCTGCCAGAGACCCACGAAATCGGCGACGGTTGCGCACTTCGCAGCCCCCCAGGAAGCCGCGAAGTCTCGGCTGGATCTGCGTAGACCTTCACCCCGCTGGGCCTGCCAAGAACCCACGAACGTGGCGAGGGTTACGCACCTCTCAACTCCCCAGGGAACCGCGAAGTCTCGGCTGGATCTGTACAGACCTCCCCTCCGCTGGACCTCCCAGGAGCACACGAAAGTGGCGACGGTTGCGCACTTCGCAGCCTCCCAGGGAGCCGCGAGGTCTCGGCTGGATCTGCGTAGACCAGCACCCCGCTGGACCTCCCAGGAGCCCACGAAGGTGGCGACTGTTGCGCACTTCGCAGCCCCCAGGCGAGCCGCGAGGTCTCGGCTGGATCTGTACAGACCTCCCCTCCGCTGGACCTCCCAGGAGCCCACGAAAGTGGCGACGGTTGCGCTCTTCGCAGCCTCCCAGGGAGCCGCGAGGTCTCGGCTGGATCTGCGTAGACCTCCACCCCGCTGGACCTCCCAGGAGCCCACGAAAGTGGCGACGGTTGCGCACCTCGCAGACCCCCAGGGAGCCGCGAAGTCTCGGCTGGATCTGCGCAGACCGCCACCCCGCTGGACCTCCCAGGAGCCCACGAACGTGGCGAGGGTTGCGCGCTTCGCAGCCCCCCAGGGAACCGCGAAGTCTCGGCTGGATCTGCGCAGACCTCCACTCCGCTGGGCCTGCCAAGAGCCCACGAACGTCGCGAGGGTTACGCACTTCGCAGCCCCTCAGGGCGAGGAGGAGGAGAAGGAGGAGGAGGAGGAGGAGGAGGAGAAGGAGAAGGAGGAGGAGGAGGGGGAGGAGGAGGGGAAGGAGGAGGACTTGGTTCTTCTCAAATCTGCCCAGGGCGTTTTGTTTACAGATGTTAGCTCGGCGTGGTGGGCATCATTTCTTCTTGCTTTTTTAGCATCCCACAAGAAAACTAAAAACGCTAAAAACGAGTCATTTGTGTGCGTTTCGGCTACTTGTCTCAGAGTGTTCAGAACAGCTGGCTGCATTGTTTTAACATTGCCGTGACCACCAGTGCTGGCGGGCCCGATGGCTGATTGCCCCTCCTGGGGCCATCGGGCCTCTGGGCCTGCTTCGGGCCGGTGTTAGACCGGTCTTACAGCGCATGTTTAGCGTTTTTAGCTCTGAGAGGGACAGCGGCGGCAGAAACGAAAAAACGTGAGCGAAGACAGCAGGGAAGACAAGGAACAGCCTTCGACCAGAAACCAAAAACACTAAAACAAAGTATGATCCACAGCGACGGGCCTAAGAACGCTGACAAAGACGGAGCTAACAACGCTAAAATATTGTCGCGTTGTTTTAGCGCCTGCAGCTTTTCAAGAGCCCAACGTACGATACGGTAGCAATATCAAATAAGAGCCAAAAACGCCCAGGGCGCTCTTGAGAAGAACCAGATTGGCAGTCGCAGTGTCATCCGAATTGGCTCGCCACGGCGTCCCCATTGCATTCGGTCCTGGTTCATCCGTGCCTTGGCCCCGAGCGCGGTGCGGTCGGGCACTCCTGGATGGAAGGCGTCGCCACGGCGGCCCCTGCGACACGCTGTGCCCTGCGATGGAACAGCGTGCCGCTCCGAACCGCGGGGCGGGAGACTCGGAGAGGCTCGGGACACGGACGCCCCAAAACCGGGAAGTGCATGGCGTGTCGCACCACACAGCGCGGTGTGCCAGAGCCGGCGGAACGATGCGGTGTCCAGAACTTCCCGACCGCACTTTGGAGCACAAGCCGTCATCAGCGTGCATCTGGTTAATTACAGCACAAGTCCTCTGACGAAGCCATTGCCCGCGCCGTCGGTGACCACCGCAAAGTCGCCCCAGCGGCCCAGCCTTGGCACGAGACTGGAAGAGAGAGAGGGAGGGATAGCAAAGGGAGAGAGAGAGATGCAGAGGTTGAGGTGGAACATGAAGCAACAAACGCACGCACCGGCGCATCAATTCAAGGCATGCCTCGCTCAAACCGCTGCAGTGTCCGTGGCGCCCTCTCCCGCATAGTACATGCGTGGCGATGCCACACTTGCGTCAGGAAATCGGTGGACGTGGGCTGGGGAAGAAAATCAAATCCACAAGGACGGTGAGATCCGGCACTCTCCGCCACCTCCCCCCACCTCCTCCCCTCTGCCTCTCTGGGCTCCCCCCCTCGCCCATCCAGGCGCGCGAGCAAAGCGGGCGCTTGCGGCAAAAGCTTTGGCCACGAAGCCGTGACGCCCAGGCCGCCTGGAGACCGTCCCGGGGCCGACCCCGGATGCCGCGTCACGCTCGCCGACGGGCCGCAGCGCCGTCATGTCGACCACCTCGGCGGGAGCGCAGGTGCATTTCGCAGCGACGGCGACAGTGACGAAGTGATGACGGAGCCCCCCTCTCGCCGGCAGAACTTCGAGTTGAGCCAGGCAGACCAAAGGAAGCCCCGAGCCCCTTGCGAACAACCGACGGCCGACAGATCCTCTCGTCAGCCTCTTCCCTTACTCTCGCAGACCACTTGGACGCGCTCGCAAAAACCTCGGAAACCTCTGGAATCTCTGGGGCGCCTCGCAAACGCCTCTCGGAAGCCTTTTCGAGAACTTATCAAATCCCACCAGCCCTCTGGGCGCGTAGGTGGTCTAGCGATATCTTTCTTTCTTCTTCCATAAGAAACCCCTCTTCCATTCGGGCAGGGGGACCCTCCTCCTCCCCTCCCCTCCCAAGGGTTTTTCGGAGGGGTTCGCGGGTCGTTAGAAGGTCCTTTTTCGCCCAAGATGTCTCCGAGAGGACCTCCGATGCTCCAAGATGGCCTCCAAGATTCATCAAGATAGCGCAAGATTGGTCAAGATGACCCCCATCATGCAGCCAAGAGGGCCCAGAAAACCACAAGACGATTCTAAGCGACCTCAGAGGCCCCCTAAGACCTCCCCGAGGAACCAAAATCTGTCAAAAACCTGTGGAAATCGACGGCTTCGTTGTATTATCACCGCTTCGCTTCCGATGTGCTTTTGTGGCCTCAAGATGGCCCCAAGATGCCCCAAGAGAGCGCCAAGAAGTGGCCCAAGAAGCAGCCAAGACGGCGCCCCCTGGTGGGGGGGCCTAGATCGGACCCCCCCTTCTGTGGATTGCACGGGAGTGACCGTATGGATACAAAGAGACACGACGTACAAATAGGGGGACCCGTGCTAGAAGAGAGCACGTTCTCTTTCCTTCTACGGAAGCGTGGGCGCGTCCGTCACCGGCGCGCCATGATGGCGAACGAGGGAGTGCAGAGAGAGGCGCAGGAGGAGAGGCTGACAGGGGCCTGACAACCACACCCTCCTTTGATCGATAGCCTCGAAGATGGCCCAAAGAGGCGCTCCAGTGCTCCCGAGAGAGCCCCTGGAGGGCCCCAAGAGAGCCCCAAGAGGGCCCCAAGAAGCACTGAAGCCTCTTGGGGCTCCCAGGGGGGGATATCTAACATGTGGCCGTCTGGGCCCCCCAAAATGGGGTGGGGTGGGGGGGGCCAGAAGAGCAGGACAAATCAACGAATCGACACCAGATGTGTATTAACTTGACACGTTATGGTAGGGGGCCTCCTGGGGCCTCCTGGGAGCCTCTTGGGAATCTCCTGGGGACCCATAGGGCCTATACTGGGCGTCCTGCGGCCTCCTGGAGCTCTCTGGGGCCTCCTGGGGCTCCCAGGGAGGAGATGTAACGTGTGGTCTTCTGGGCCCCCAGGCTGGAGCACCTCTTGCGCGGCATCTGGAAGCTCAGAGTTGCGAGAATGTCTTGTGCGAAACGGGCCGGACCACCTTGCGCACGGCATATCAGGGCTCAGAGTTGCGAGGATGTCTCAGGCGAAACGGGCCGGACCACCTCTTGCGCGGCAGCTCAGAGCTCAGAGTTTCGAGGATGTCTCAGGCAGAATGAACCAGACCACCTCGCGCGCGGCATCTCAGAGCTCAGAAATTCAAGGACGTCTCAGACGAAACGGGCCAGACCATCTCTCGCGCTGCATCTCGGAATGCAAAAGTGCGAGGATGTATCAAGTAAAACGGACCAGACCACCTCTTGGGCGGCATATCGGGGCTTAGAGTTTGGAGGATGTCTCAAGCAAAACATGCCCGACCACCTCTCGCGCGGCATCAGAGAGCGCAGAGTTGCAAGGATGTCTCAGGCAAAACGGGCCGGACCACCTCGCGCACGGCATATCAGGGCTCAGAGTCTGGAGGATGTATCAGGCGAAACGGGCCGGACCACCTCTTGCGCGGCATCTGAGAGCCCAGAGTTTCGAGGATGTCTCAGGCGAAATGGGCTTGCGTGGCATCTCAGAACTCAGAGTTGCGAGAGTGTCTCAGGCGAAACGCGCCGGACCACCTCGCGCACGGCATCTCAGAGCTCAGAGTTTGGAGGATGTATCAGGCGATACGGGCCGGACCACCTCTCGCGCGGCATCTGGGAGCTCAGAGTTGCGAGGATGTCTCAAAAAAAGGGCCGGACCACCTCTTGCGCGGCAGCTCAGAGCTCAGAATTTCGAGGATGTCTCAGGCGAAACGGGCCGGACCACCTCTTGCGCGGCATCTGGGAACTCAGAGTTTGGAGGATGACTCACGCGAAACGCCCAATCCCGGACAACTCAGAAACGAGAGTTGCGAGGATGTCTCAGGCGAATCGGCCAAGACCACCAATTTCTTGTTGAGGACGTCTCTGCTTTGATTACCCTCGGCCAGAGTTAGCTTCTATCACAACAGCACCCCGTTCAGTAAGCTGTTTGCAGAAAGATCAAAAATACCAAATGCCCCCCCCAAAAAAACAAAAAAATACCTCCAAATAGCTACACAAACATTCAAAACACATCGCCCCCAGATAATTTGTCACTATGTTTGAATATTCCTCCTGTAGAGGGACAGGCCCGACTTACCTCAAGGGCCAGGGGCCAGGGAGCGGACGAGCCTGTCGAGCAGCTCCACGAGGGGGCAGCGCGGAGCGGGCCCCCGCGGGCCTCCGCGGGGCGCCCCTGGCCGGCGAGACGGCACCATGGAGGCGCCGGCGGGGAGCGACGGAAGGGGGGGGGGGAGAGGGGCGGGAGAGCAGGGGCGGGCAGGCCAAGAGCGAGGACGAGGAGGGAGACGTGGGGGGGGCGAGAGGCCCAAGCAGCGCGGGGGGCAACCAGGGAGCCAGGTGACCAGGGGGGTCGAAAGGCCCGAGCAGCGCACGGGTGGCAAGAGAGGAAGCCGGGGAGCAGGCGATGCGAGCGCGTGGCTCAAGCACGGCCAGGTCGGGTGGCTGGCAGGAGCGGTAGGCGATGTGAGAGCCATCAGGGATCGCCGGGAAACCGACACGTACTTACCGGTCCTCGTGGCAACACCGCGTGTTGCGGTCCAGCACGAATGGTCGCGGCACCGCGCGGACGCGGCCGCCCGTGCAGGGGACACTGCACTGGGGGCGACGGCACTCTCGCAGGGCAGCACGGCAGATCGAGGTGAAAGCCAGCATGTGGCGGGGGATGTCGGAAAGAGGGGAGTGAACGCCGAGGGCTGAAGAGAAAAGATGGGGCGGGGAGGAAGTGGAGAAGAGAGGGAGGAAGGAGGAAACCCTCCTCCCTCCTTCCTCTCCGCCTCCTCCTCTGCCTCCCCCTCCTCCTGCTCCTCCTTCTCCTCCTCCTCCTCCTCCTCCTCCTCCTCCTCCTCCACCTTCCTCGTCGCCTCCATGATCCGAGGATCGTGGAGGCGGCCCTGGGCTCCTGCTGCCCCGCCCACGCCTGGGGAAACCAAAAGGCACCGATACCGCCAATCCCCAGACCTCTCCAGGGGCGCATTCTGACCAGAATTTCGGGGCGAATCCAGCGCTGGCGACGAGGGCGTCCCAGGAAGCGCAAAAAAAAGGAAAACGAGGAAAGGGTATAGCGGTATGGGTACCTTTGGCCTCCTCTGACCTTCTGACCCCCCCCCCCCCCCGCTCGTGCCCGTCGGGTCGGGCGAAAGGGGGGGACAGCAAAGGGGGGGTTTGAGAATCAGCTCACGTAGCTGACTTTCCCGGCGCCTCCCGGCGCCGGAGGCGGCTATGTATCGAGGCATGGGCCCCTCGGCGAGGCCGAAACCAGCTGCAAGCAGCAAATTTCGTAACCCCCCCTTTCCCAATCCCCCCCCTTTCGCCCCGCTCGTGCCCAGCGCGCGCCGGCGTGTCCACCGACAGCGCCCAGCGGCCGAGGACGGGCCGCAGGGCCCCCAGGTCTGCCGGGCACGCCTGGGCCACGGGAGCGGCACGGGGCGGGCTCCAGGAGACTGGCACGGCCTCCGCCTCCGCCGCCTCCTCCTCCTCCTCCTCCTCCTCCTCCTCCTCCTCCTCCTCCTCCTCCTCCTCCTCCCCCTCTTCCTCCTCCTCCCCCTCCTCCTCCTCCTCCCCCTCCTCCTCCTCCGTCTTCCTCCCCCTCCTCCTCTTCCTCCGGGCAGCGTGAAAAAGTGCGGTGGGCGCCTTGGGCAATCTCAACCTCTGGGGAACTCGCTTCGGGTCCTGGGGCCATCAAAAGACCACTCGCGAGTTTTGTTGCTCCCATCGTACAATGACCACATCCCAGAAATAATCTCGAGCACCCGTAGAAGTGTCGAAAGAGTGTCGACGCAGTGTCGAAACAGTGTCGGACGAGTCGCTCCCAGGGCCCGACACGTGAAAACCTGGGAGTTTCGGCACTTTTCTGGTGTTCGAAGTTCTGGCAACCAAAGGCTAAAGAAGATTGGAACATCATGACCCAGGAGACTGGCACGGCCCAAGACCTCCAGGCAGCGTGAAGAGGTGCGGTGGGCGCCTGGGGCAATTTCAGCCTCTGGGGAACTCTCTTCGGGCCCCGGGGCCATCAAGAGACCACTCGCGACGAACATTCCTGGGGTCGGCGTCGAGGTCTTCGGGGGCCCACTTCGCGAACAAAAAACACGCGGGAGAAACCTGGGGCACCCTTTCGCCGACCTTGTGCTTCGCAAGGCACCCCCCAAGACCGAGGTGGGCCCCCAGGGCCTCCAGAGCATGAGAGATGTCGCTGGGGCACCCGCTCGCATGCCAGCTGCTTCAGCTTTGGATGGGGACGTACGCAGGACACGGGTGTCAGCGAGGAGTAGGGAGGACGAGGAAGAATGTGAGGATGATGCTGAGGCGGACGATGGGGACTTGAGTGGGAGTTCGGAGCGGAATGTGTGCTCGAGGTAGAATCGGGGGAGGGCGAGGGGTCGTTTGGTCCTCAGATTTCACGGCCCTCGTCTTCCAGAAGATGCGAAGAATGCCTCTGAGACTGTATTCAATCGTCTCGCGGAGCTGATGATTGCCAGGCACTTATATATTGTAAAACTCACGCCCGTCCCGTTTTTATCTTCACGAGATCGTAGATCGTCTTCCGCCCATGTGCACTATTTCGTTGCCCACTTGCCGAAAAAAACAGTTCTTGGCACCGACCGTGCTGAACTGTAACCCAAAGATGTTCGCCGAGTCCGTATATCAGAACATACCAGCGTACTCGGTGCTGCATTCAACCTCTTCCAAACTATATTTGGGGCCCTTCGTGATAACATCCTCGTCCGCGTCCTCCTTCAAGCCTTCAGTGACAACCTGCAGGATCCTATTCCCGCCATTATTCTCGTCAATGTGCATCGTCTTGCGTATCGTGCCATTGGTAAATGTGTTCTTCATGTCCGCGATCTCGGCCTGGATCGTCGCACTGGTGTTTGGGATGTCGTGGGCCTTGCACTTCTTTTACCGTCTCCACTGCTTGTTCCGGTTTGGCCTGAACGTACTTGGCAATGGTCATGGTATACATCATGTCATCGGTGAGTCTCGTAAGCACGGCATGCATCGTATCGATACTGCAGCCTCGGTCCATGATTATTGAGTCCCCCCTGGCTTACCATCACACTAAACTATTTCTCCCCCAGGGAGCGGCCTGTAGAGCCCTCCGCCTCCGACCAATCCGACGCGATGAGAAACGAGAGACAACATACCAAGACGCGTGTGTCGGGGGCCTCCGAGAAGGGAGTGTCCCAGAGGGGGGTGTGCAAGTCATGGGCCGGGGCATGTGCGCGGCCCAAGGGGAACCATGGACGCAATGAAATAAGAAAAGGCGCCATGAAATCTGAGGGGATATCATGGCCCCCGCCATGATATCCCCCCCCTATTATCACCCCCCTCGTGGCCGCCCCCGAGTGTAGGAAAACCTCGGGAATGCAAGAGTATCAGATTTTAGCCAGGATTGCCCTGAGCCAAAGGCGCCAAGGCGAGAGACCTGTCTTAAAAAGGTACCACCCTCCATTCCTGTAGCTGCTGCACCATGCTCACAAGAATGCGCGCGGCACCGGAGCGAGAGCCCCCTTTCGAGAAGGGACCACCCTCGAGCTTCTGAGACGAGCGCGTGGCTCGAGTGCGAAGAGACGCATTCTGGAAAAGGTACCGCCCTCCATCCCTGGTCACCAGAACTGCTGATCACTTCCTGGTTCCAGGGCCACACGCCGTGAGGCAAACCTTCGGCGAAGCGCTCCGCCCACCCCACCGCCACGTCTGGTGTGAAGGGGCCCCAGGACACACAAATAAATACACACAAATAAAAGGAGCCCCCGTATTTTCCTATATTTTCTGGGTTGCGGTCTTCCCCCCCGCTGCCCATATTTTCCCATATTTTCCTGAGGGTCGACGATTAATTGTGTCTGTGTGTTTCTTTCCCTCCTGATGGTGCTGCGACGGGGAGGAGGAGGCCAGAGAGACTGGGAGGCGGCGGACGGCGGCCCCGGCCACCGCGGTTGGTCCCTCTCGGTGGGCCGGCGGCCGCTCCTCCCTCCCACACCCGCTGCCCCTGGCCGCTGCGGCCGAGTGGGGGAGGCGGATCGGACTTCCAAAGGGGGAGGGGGGGGGTCACTGCGCTCGGGAGCTCCCGAACGGAGTGAACCCCACCCCCTCCCCCTCAGGAGTCGTGGGGGGCAGGAGGGGTAGGGCTCGCACGTGGCCCCCCAGCGGAGGCGGCGGCGGCGGCGGCGGAGGAGGACAGCGGGCGCGCGCAGCGAGGAAACGGCAGCTCTCGCGCGCCTTCTTGACGGCACGGCTGCACTGCCGCACGGCCTCGGTGGCCGCTCCAGCTGGCCGGGTCGGCACGGCCGGCTGCCGCTGGCCGTGCCAGAGTCGTCGTGTCGTCGTCGCCGTCGCCGTCGTCGCCGTTGCCGTCACCGTCGCCAAGGCCGTCGCTTTCGTCTTCGTCTTCGGTCGGACTGCTGTTCGGCCCCGTGCCCCTTGGGGCGACGGGACAGGCGCGGATTGGCGCACGCAGGAAAAACCGAACTTCGCGTTCCGCACAGTGCGATGCGCGGTATCTTCGCGCCCTCACGCCGCCTCTCGTGGCCTCGAATCATCACTCGCTGGCCCAGACAGCGAAGCATGGAAAACTACGATCTTCGCGCCACTGCGACTGTCAACGCGTTGGCGAGCCGTTCGAAAAAAACGCCACGGCACGTCGGAAACCTAATCCAGAAGCCGCATTAAAGTGATCATTTGTTTTTTGGCCCCCCCTCTGTCACAGAGGGGGTCAAATATGCCCCCCCTCTGTCACAGAGGGGGTCTGAGATGCCCCCCCCTCTGTCACGGAGGACCTCGTTCTGGGTGCTCTTCTGCCACGGGAGCTCCCGATACGATTGGAGACGATAAAATGTGATAGCGGGATGGGGGATTGGAGGGGGAGGGAGAAGAAAACGATGAAGGAGAGGAGGCAACGACAGCACCGATGAAAGCACCGTTTCTTTTTCCTTCTCCGCTCGGGCAGCGGTCGCCGAGCACGACGGCGCGCGCGAGTCGCCGCCGCTCACGATGCATTGGCAAGGCCTCCGCTGCTGCGGAGGGTCGACGTTCGGCCGATGAGGCCTCCCTCCGCTGCTGCGGAGGGGCGGCTCCTGTGCGATGGTTCAGCTAAGTTCTTCCCAGGGATTGGTCTCGGGGGGGTGTTCGACCCACCTCCAATTCGTGGCCTCCCAGTGCCCCTGGCCGCTACTCCACCCACTGTGGCTGCTCCACCAGTCACTGGGGCGTTGGTCGCTGCCGAATGCAACTTGCATGTCGCGCCAGGCGGAGTCGACCCTGCGGTCCTGCAGCGAGGAAGCCTCGCCGCTCGGCTGTTGCCACTCGCGCTCCTCGCCCTCCCTGGTGCGCCACCACTCATCCCTGCGCCGCCCCCCGTCTGCTGGTTGCTGCCATGGCGTCTGTGGCCTCCGTTGCTGCGGGGGCTCTGGCGGCTGATGCCGCGGCGCCTCCCGCGGCTGCTGCTCTTGCAACCCTTGCCCTCGCTGCTCCAGCGGCGCGGGCCCTGGAGATGGCCACTGCGGGGCCGGCTGCCACCTTGGGGGTGATAAGTAACTATTTCTATCATTATCCCCTTCCTGTCCACTCCCGCCCCTTCCCGACACTCATTTCCTTATGTCATCCCTCGTCCTGCTCAGCCTCTTCCTCATTCCCTCTCCTCCCTCCTGCCATCCCCGTGCCCCACCCTCCCTCTCCCTCCCTCCCCCTTTCAACCCCCCGCCGCGACCTTCCATCGCCAGCCGCGGGCCAGTCGCGGCCGTCGTCCGCGTTTTCGTCTGCCCATCTTGGCGGGCGCCACGCCTGTTGGGCGCGCTCGTCTTGCTCGCCCCTCTCGCGGTGCTGCTCTGGTGCCTGGCGCTCGGGCCCGTGCTGCTCGGGCGCCACTGCTGCGGCGCCTTGGAGCGCAGCTGCTTGCTGTTTCTGGGCGCGCCTGTCCTTCTTCTCTCTGTTTCTCTCCTGCTTCCTCCCCTGCGAACGCGAGCTGGCCATGCGCATTTGGAACAGGAGAGGGCAGTGGGCGCCGCCGTGCCAGCGCCCCTCCACCTCCACGGTCTCCGGCGGGAACGTCTTCTGCAACGCGCGGAAGAGGGTCACCTCGCGATTATTAGAGAAGCGGCGGTCCCCTCTAGCCTCAGCCTCGGCGCGCCTCAGTTTCTCACGCTCCTTCTCTTGGATCTTGCGTTGGCATTCCTCTGACTGAGTCAGTAAATCCTGGAGGTGCTCGCGGGCGTCTTTTTTCGGGTAGTAGCGATCGTAAGGCATCCCAGGGCCTCCTTCCTGGCAGTGGTGCCAGTACGTCGGCTCCGATGATGGGCTGGTGGAGGCCCCCGCTGCTGCGGGGGCCTCTGCCTTGCTTCTGTTGCGGTGCCCGATCTCACCGATCACCGACTTGCGTGCGAAGAGCAACCCCGCCTCGTCTCTGTCGCGCACGGCGCTCAGCGGCCAGCGCAGGGTGTACTCGCCAGGCCTGTTGAGAACGGAGATGCCGCAGCTGTCCAAGCACGGAGCGCCGTCCAATCCGCGCCAGAAGTACGCTGCTGCCGTCTCCAATCGCAAGCCTAGACCCCGAAGACTCGGCAGCGTCTGTGTGAGCGCCATGTTGAAATCCCCACAAAGGATGTCAACGTTGTTCTCCTGCAAGATGGCCGCCAGCCTCCGCCACCACGTCTTGTGAGCCTCCTTAAAGCCTTTGGAAGCTTTCGCCGTGTCGCGGTGGAGGTGCACCGCGCACGCCCGCACTTTCGAGCCGAAGTGGGCGTAGGTTTGATCGAAGTAGACCTCAACCACCATGATCCTCGAGAACGCTTCCATCTTGTTCCCTTTTGCAGTGGCCGTCGACACTCCTTTCCCAGTGGAGCAGCCGCATTCCGTGGCACAGATTTGCGCGCGCAGCGATGCACAAGGACTTGTCCTCACGCCCGCGCAGGGTCAAGTATTCGTACTCTGGTCGATTCTGGAGCTGTTGGCAATCGCCAACACTCGCAGCACGACTTCCTCTTGCTGTCGCCATCGCTGCTGCGGGGGCGACAAAAGGCCCACCGCTGCTGCTGCTTTGGCCCTCCGCTGCTGACGCCCCCGCTGCTGCGGGGGCGTCCGCCTGCAGCGGCGGTGGTTTCCCTGGCCGCTGTAGGATTGCCTCCATCTGCTCCTCACATTCCGCAAAGCACGCCACGAGAGCAGGGCAATGCCGCAGCTGCAACTCAAGTCTCCGCCGCTGGTCCGCGTGGTTGGTCTCGCTCGGCATGGGGCCCCAGTTCCCGAACAGGACGGAAAGGTTGCCCACGTTGTCGTTCCGCTGCCTGTTCACGTCAGCCGCTCTACTTTCGCAGAAGAACTGGAGCGGGACGGCGCCGCGAAGAACGCACTTGCGCCGCTCGACGTCGTCGGGCGGCGCGCAGCCCCCAAAGGCCGGCTGATCGCGCCGCTCTTCCTGAGGCTCTTCGTCATCGCTCGGATCCACCGCCGAGTCGCCTGGGCGGGTGCGTATCGTAGAAACTTCTGATCGCGCCGCCGCTGCTGAGCTTGAAACGCCAGGCGGCGCAGCCCCCGCTGCTGCGGGGGCGCCCTCTGTCACACGGGCCCAAGGACCCTTCCAGGGTTCTGCCTGACCACCCGCAGGTCGCCAAACCTTCCCAGACTTCGCTGTATGTACTGCCGACAGTCGGCCCCGAGGCCCCGCTGCTGCGGGGCCCAATGAGCTGCTGCTGCTGCTGCCGGCCGCGGCCATCACTCCCTGCCCCCGCGTTGCAGGGGGGGGCGGCCGTCAGAGCCGGACTCCTGGGGCCGAAACGGCGGTGGAAGGAGGGGGGCGGGGCGAAGAGGAGGAAGACGGGGCGGATAGGAAGGGAAAGGGCGGGCAGAGAGAGAGGGAGAGAGAGAGAGAGAGAGGGAGAGACAGGGAGATAGTGAGAGAGGGAGAGAGATAGAGAGAGAGAGAGAGAGAGAGAGAGAGAGAGAGAGAGAGAGAGAGAGAGAGAGAGAGAGAGAGACGGACGACGATAACGAGAGAGAGAGAGAGAGAGAGAGAGAGAGAGAGAGAGAGAGAGAGACGGACGCGGAGGAGGGAGGAATGAGATAATGACCAGGAGGGTGATCAGGGAGAAGGAGGGGGGAGAGCAGGAGGAGGGGCGGAGTGATCGACACCCGCGTGGTTTTCTCCCCCTGCCTGCTCCCCCCCTCCTCTCACCTCCTCCCCCGTCCTCCCTCCTCCCTGTTTCTTCTGCATAGGGCCTGCGCTACGTCCGCGCGCGCACGCGGCACCTCAGTCGCAGCCAGGTGGAAGAGCAGTGGCTGCTGCCCGAACTCACACCCCGCGCCTCGCCGCTGCTGCGGCGGGCCGCGCCTCTCAGAGGCCCCCAGCTGCAGGGGGCGCAAGCGCCAGGGGGCCAGACAGACGGCGTCGCGTCTCACTGTGCATAAACATGCTGAAAGCTCTCGGGTTGCCTCCCAAGTACTCGTCTATGACGTTCTGCAACCGCGTGGCAAACGTCTCCGGCCACTTTCCACCGAAGTCCCCCATGCCAGCGGCGTCACATTCCCGCCGAAACCACTCAAAATCTGACCGCTGAGCTGCAGAAAGCCCAGAACCCAACCCCGCCAGGCGATTCAGCGCGTCGCACCTCGACGTTCGACCCGCCGCGCCTCCGCAGCTGCGAAGGCCCGCGCCCAGCTCGGATAACCCGACATGCTTCATCCTGTGTTTGATATCTATGGCTGCCTCTGCGTCTAAGAGTTTGGCTTGCTGTGTCCTCAGCAGCTTGCGCGCTTTCTTTACGTCGCCCCCCAGGCGGGTTAGCTCTTCTCTGCGCCGCGCCTCGACATCCCGCTGTCGTTTCTCGTTTCTGAGCGTCGCCTCGCGGGCGTCCTCGCATGCTGCGAGGGCCCGCTGAACCCCAGGATCTTCCTTCGACACTTCGCGCACTCGCCTCCGTTCTTTCCGTAATTGCGTCTCCATGAACGTGGCCCCCGCGATGTCGCCCCAGCTGCGCAACTCCTCAGCGATCGACGAATACGTTCTCATCAAGTCAGACGTCTGCTCCGCGGTTTCCATGCGAGACGTCGACAGGCCAGGCGGCGCCTCCAGCGCGCTCTCCCCCGCCGCTGCTGCGTTGAGGCTTGATTGGCCCATCCGTAGTCAAACTCGCCAGCGGCGCTCCACCCGTCGTCGCCCTCGCCCCCATCATCTTCATCTCCTTCGAGGGCGTCGACGGAATTGCCACCCTCAGTGCCCCCGCTGCTGCGGAGACCCTCGGCTGCGTCTTCCGCCCCCTCCA